TCATCAGAAGTTGATAGGGGAGGGGAAGTGAACACCTAAATAGCATCTCATATCCCATCAAAACCCTGTAAAGTAGACACTGCCAAGGGAACTGAGGCCTAGAAAGATTATAAACTGGTCTAAGGTCACACAGCATTGGCTGTTGGAATGACTCCAAAGCCTTTAACCCCTCCTGGAGCCACACCAACATGGTCCACAAGGAGATTCAGAGCGATTCAGCCAGCACAGGCATGGACCAACTTCGTGAAGGTGATGGCACCCCACCTAGGTCGCCTCCCCCATCATCGTGCCTCCTTTCGTCCCCCTCTGTCAGCTGACACACAGCTGTACTGTTAATGCAGTCTGGTGGTGTTCCCTGAGAAGAGTGGTCCTGTCCTCTGTTGAGGAAGTCAACTTGCCACCAACTTCAGAAAGAAAAGGATCCACTCATTCAGCGCCCAATTACTGAGAACCTCTCTATATACTAAGATTACTAATGTGAGTAAGGCATGGTGTTTACCCTCTGAAGCTCACAGACCAGATGGGGAGGCAGACATAGAAGCACACAGTTATCCTGATGTCTGATGCATGTGCTCACAGCTTGTAACCATCTCAGTCTGGGAGAGTGAGGGGACATTTTTCAGAGGAGACACAACTGAGGTGGGTATTGATGAATCAGTAGAGTTTGCTAGATGTGTCTGAGGAGGGGAGGAGATGTGAACTCACATTTAAAGAGTATGCTGTGTGCCAGGCCCCTTACTCATCCTATCTTGTTTACTTTTCATAACCTTATAGGGAGATTTTATTATGACCTTACAGATGAGGAAATAGAGGCTGAAATGTTCAATGAATTTCCTAAGAGATTCTACAGGGGTGGTATATGGACCCCTGGGGGAATCCCCAAGACAATGAGCAGGTCAGTAAGGTTAAAACTATTTTCACAACAACACTAGGTTTTTATTTGCCTTTTTCATTGTATTGACATGTGCATTGATGGTACAGCAGTGATAAAAGATAAAACTGCTGGTGCCCTAATACCAATGAAGGCCTTGGTGCCAAACTGTACTCGTCCTTGTATTCTTCACCCTCAGGTATTTTCAGTTAAAAAGAAAAAAAGCCAGTTTCACTGAAGAATGTCCTTGACAAAGCAGCACGATTATTAATTTTATTAATCTTGATCCCCAAGAACACATTGTTGTAATGTGTTGTGTGTTGAAATGGGAAGTATACATAGAGGACTTGTGCACATTGAAAAATGATGATTGTTGCAAGAAAAAAAGCACTTGTATGAATGCTTGAGTTGCGAGCTGAACTAGCCATTAATTTTTTGTGGAATACTGTCTTTACTTGAAAGTAAAGATGAATGACAAGCTGTGATTATTCAGTCTTGGGCATTTAATAGACAGTTTCTTGAAAATGAATGAGTGGAGACGTTATTTAAAGCTGACACTTGGTATTTGTCGCCAATCATAAAATCTGAGCTTTCAGACAAAAATTGGAATTTTAGAAAACTTCTATCTTCCAAATTCCTAGTATTTAATGACTCTTCTGATAAGATTGATGGCGATATTAATGAATGTGATTTTTCGGTATTATATAATGAAATGTGTCAGTATTTGCAAGGTCTGGAAAACTTAATGAACAAAAATTTTCCAAATGATGAATGGAAGCCAGTACAGAATCATGCATGGGTGAAGTGTTCATTCAAAATACAAGACAGAACAGTAGAATTTAATGTAACGGTATAAAGTGTTCATAGAGCTGGTTTCAGATTTCACACTGCAACTAACTTTTAAGGAATACTATTTGCTGAGTTTTGGTGTAGTATCACGGAAGGATATCCATAATTATCTGAAAATTTGTTAAAATATGTCTCTCTTTCCAACTATATATCTGGATGGATTTTCTTCATAGATATCGACCAAAGCAAGACATCTCAATAGACTGAATGTAGAAATATTTATGAGAATCCAGCCAGCATGAAAGAGAGTTGCAAAATGTAAAGTTTTACTTTTATTTCCCTTTGTTTTGGAAATTAGTTTTTTTAAATAAAATACGTCACTTACGTTAACATTCACTGGGTTTATTCTTATCATTTAAAATTAATTACTGAATAAATATTTTTAAATGCCTGAGTTTTGATATCAAATACAGTAAAAGTTGGTAGATATAAGCCGCCTAGATTAAAGCTCTTTGGAGTTCTCAGTAATTTTTAAGACTTACATCCTGTGACCAAAGAGTTTGAGAACTGCTTCCCTAAGGTCATAAATGTTCTGTGGTGGTCTGTGTCCTTGCATTTCCTACATCAGTGATTTTGCAATAGGTGGAGAGGGGATTGGAAACTCACCCTCTCCCACTGGGGCATGTGTATCAGAATCTTGAGGAAACTTCTGAAGGCTGAGCAACCATTTTCA